TCTTGAGAATCTATGTCATGAGTTTAAATTAGGTTCACTTAATTAGCCAGCTGGTACTCTCCTTGTCAGACAGTAAACATCCTGTGATCCACAATTCCCTCATGTCAAGTCTCAGCCCTTCCTCTGTGTCTTGCTGTTATTGTCATTGTTTCTCCCTCAAAAAAGAGAACCATTTCAGCGTTTGATGCACCTTGTCCATGAGCAGAGCACTGTACACTTAGTTTTTTGTATTTGCTGAACTTGACTAAGAAAGACAGATTACTCATTATATCACCTGTGTATATGATCACTATTGTCAGCAAAGACATAAATACATATGACAATTAAATTAAACATTAAAACACATATGAAATTTGGCTTTTAGCACTGTTTATATATTACTGGAAGAATGATTCTGCCCATGCTTCTATAAAGCTATAGTGCATCAAATGGAATCCTTTGTTTTACTGTTGCATATTCAGTATGCCTTCAGTTATGTTTACAAAGCAAGTAGGGAATGAGTTTATATCACCCTCATCACAAAACTATAGTTTTTGAGAAAACATTTTGAGCCTGTACATGTAGGACAATAACACACTTGCTATTTGAAAATTATTTCAGGAAACGTTATTTTTCAACAGAAGTTCAGACAATGTGTAGCAATAGAATTGTCTGTATAGGATCAGACAAAGCAAAGAGGAAGTGGTGCATGGTCTACAATATCATAGCCAGAATAATTCACTAAGTTAATCATGATTGGATTCCTCATTTTTCTTAAAAGAGGAGTTCTCTCCAGAATTATAAAATATGTCTTTGTTTCTGGAAACTCTGTTGGATGAGTCTGACAACACATTTTCTAGAAAAGTGATATCTACAGGTTAATATAAACCATGCAAAGCATAAAGTAGATTTCAACAAAGGCCTGACTTGGGAGAGAGATAAACATATGCCAGTATACCACATTCCAGGTGTATATCCCAAATGACTGCCTTTTTTTTTTAAACAAATATCATTTTCATGAAGTAATAAGAGATAGGTTAACTTAGAAACAAAACACAAATAAGTGTGTGAAGCTAGGCAAATAATGTTGTCCTCCAGCCCTGTGGAGTTCAAGAGTCCCAACTATGTAGGAACATGGCCGAACACATTTGGAAATGCCATTATGTCACAATGTCAAACATTTGTACACTCTTTGTGGTATCCACTGCATGAAGTACTATTTGATTTAAAAGATGAGAATCCATGGGAAGATGACCACAGAATACTTGTTTATGTCATATGATGGAAGAATCCTATTACACTTTAAAACCATTTCCTATAAGGAGCGATAATAACAGCTAAGAACGGAACCCACCCCCACATAAGTCTATTAGTAGAGTTAAAATGTAAATACTCTTACTTATTAGTATTCAAAACAACATGTGAAGAGTATAATAGTTTTTAGTAAATAAAACAATATTAGTTTATTTAATAATAACAGAGATTAAATTTAGCATGTTATACAATTTTGCAGCTTGCTTAATCTCATAGGAATGCTGGTAGTCATTTCTACAAAATGTTTAGACAGTCTTAAGTTACATTAACTATTTCAGGTTCATAAGTTTATTCTTGGTAAATAAATAAATACATTTACTAAGTTCTACATTGCTACTTTTCAAAAGCATATATTCCAGTTTTCTGATCATTTACATTTTAAAATCATGTTCTGTAAACACTCTACCAAGTGAGTGAGCTCTCCTGCAACCCAGTTCTTACAGTAATTGTAGTAACTGTAGTTCATTGGAGCTTAATATTCATCAGTGACAGATATCCTTTACCTATCCTAACAGTCACAAGAATTTTTGAAAGTAGCTAGCATTAGTTCTGCTTTATAAGAAAAAATAAGCATAGATGCCCTCCAAAGGTTTTGCTGTTAGGTTCCATGAATGATTTTAGAATGACTGTTCATGAACATGATGCATTCATTCTATGTCTGTCTCCGTGGCTTTGCACCATTGATTGGACTGCTTCTAGACAGACAGCTACAGATATTGGAACCTCTTTGAGTTTCTGTCCACATTCTAAAGCATAACAGTGTCTCCCACATCTTCATATATCTGAGTTATAAATTGGAGGATCTAGGCAGAGAATCTTTTGTGTTCATAGAGCTTCCCCAAATGGGAAGTAGTGCAGTACCTGATAAGTGGGGTTGATGGCCTTGATCAGTCAGTCACAGTTTTCTAACCCTTGTAGATGGCTGTGTATCCATGTAGGTACTACATAGAAAATGTGCTCTCAGAGCAAAAGTGTTGTCTAAGTTCTATCATTGTGGAAATTCTCTTTAGAATCTTTAGATCTTGAATAGTCATTTACAAATCTTTATCTGTATTCTTTTTGTTTGTTTGTTTGTTTTTTCAAGACAAGGTTTCTCTTTGTAACAACACTGGTTGTCCTAGAACTTGCTTGGTAGATAAGGATGGCCTCCAGCTCATAAAGATCTATTTACCTCTGCCTCCCGAGTTCTGAGACTAAAGGATTCAGCCACCACTGGTAGATCCCTACTGTATTCTTTTACTTTTAAAATTTTTATTCACTATACATAACAACCACAGTTCTGCCTCATTCCTTCCTCCTACTTTCCCCTCAACTCCCCACAAAACCCACTCCCCATCCACTCCTCAGAGAGGATAAGGCCTCCCATTGGGATTCAACAAAGACTGGCACTTAAAATTGAGGTCTTTCCTTTATTCACATTAGTGACTATTCTAACTGTCATCATAGAACCTTCTTCATACTCTATTCTTAAGAGCCAAATATCAAAAAATTTTCCTAGTTGTTGTTCTTGTTTATACTGAGCTATTTCTTTAGTATCTGGTGACCTGATGCTTATTCTATTTTAGACAGCATGAAAATAAGGCTGTAATAACCACATAAAAATCAAGTTTAAAATATAAAAAAGAATATGTGAAAAGACAAATCTTCCACATTTGTCACTCCTTTACTGATACAAGGAATCTCTTTTGTTGCTCATGGACAAATATTACTAATTAATACATGCAAAAACATAATGCAACATCTAGCATTGATGCAAAAAGTTATGTAAATATAATCATAGCAATTCCATGAGAAATAAAACTAGTTAATTAATTTAATAATGCCAAGTCTAGTAGTTTATGTAACGACTAAAGTTCGTTAATGAAAATGCAGGCTCTTGCTAACTCTTCAACTATTGGCTATTCCTACTTACACTGTTTAATTAACTCAAAATTGCCTTGAAAACCTGGAGCAACATCCTCTTGAGATAGCATTCAAAGCAGGAAGAGTATAAAAAATGGGTTGAGGAGAGTGTTACACGGCTGTCTTGGATTATGAAGTACAGTATCATCCTCTAAAACTGTGGAAGAACTTAGTGGTTACAATGCAAAGATTAGAGCAACAACCCTCAGAAACTACGTACCTTAGTATGTGTCAAAGTAAAGAGTGGCTTCAACGTGTTTTTAGTGGCAAAACACCCACACCATAACATTTCTGCTTAGCTGGACCACAAACTGTAATACAACTATAACATCCAAGAAGGAAGGGAAAGGAATATCAGTACAGAAAATTTTAACTGCTCTTACCCAAAGTGTACTTATTATTTTAGTAATCATTGAATACTATGAATTATAAAAATATAAAAAAACATATCCATAAATATACATTTCTAATGAAAATTGAAATATCAATTTCTATAAGACAACCACAATTCTAATTTAGCTCTTACTATCTCACAAAGAACTTCATATTACTGCGAGTTACATCTTACAGAATTTTGATGATATTCAACATCTTAGGGAAGAATCACTGTCATTATTGGATAAAGTTTGGCTAAACATAATATTTCATAATATAAACTGAGTAAGTACACAATAAATTACCTTATAGCTGTTAGTTTTATAATATAGACAGGCAGACATTAGGGAGAGCAAAATGACTTCCTAGCAACAATTTGCTTTCTGGTTACTGAATTAAAAGTAGATGTACAATATTATGCATATTGTCATAATATTATAAATAAAATATTCTTACTATACCAATAATGTCACAAGAATTGGGAAATGTCACTTGCTTTCATTTGGTAATATTATACAATAAAGAAATTGGTTGGTGAAATGAAAGAAATCAAGTTATGTAACCAAGTAGCATATTTTAGCTGAATGTCCAGTCTGTTGCTAATCATGAGTGGTCATGCCATGCAATACAGTTATCAGATCAAAGCAAAGAGGAAATTGTTAATCGAAGCCAAACAAGAGTGTCTATGTCAGGGAACATGGAGTCATGTTGTTCCTAAACACGTCTTCCAAATATTACATGACTGTTTACAGTCAGAAAACAATAGAAAGTCAAAATCAGGATATTTTCAAGTACCTGGGTTGGTTTTAAGAGTTGCTGTTGCAGGTTGTTGATGCTGTATGATGACCCTAGGGACTGGAAGAAGTTAATGGCCTAATACCCTCCATAGTTATAACTGATGGTTGGAATGCTGTTTGTTCAGACACATGTAAACAATGGTTGTCTAGTAAGGTCACAAAAATGACCCAGGCCACATCAGCTTTGTTGCTGAGCCATTGCCATCATGGGGTTCTAATCTATCCTTAGCTTCATAGGACCATTACTCCAGATGTGACATTTGTTCCCTAAAATCAATTCACTTAGATCCTTCATGAAAACTGAGAATAGAAACACAGCCGGAATGTGTCATTGTTGAATGGTAGTGAGCATACATATCACATTTTATAAACCTTTATTTTCTAAACAGCTATCCTTGACTCAAAATTCTTGCAATTGAGCACAATACTATACAAAATTGTCAAGATATTGAAGAGAATGTGTTTGAGTAATATATTTTAGATCAATCTGACAGAGCTTAGAAAATCAAGTATTTGGCCAAATATAACTTTAATCTCATTCCTGAATTACAGGATTCTTCATTCATTTGTAGTCCAGCTTTCCAAAAATGCCAAGGCTTTCAAACTTTTGTTTTCAATTGTTCTTGATTATAGGCAGTGAGCACAGACCCTGTACCAGTCAAATTGCATTATGACAAATCACATGACCAAGTCTGGGTGCTGAGCTGGGGCAGCATGGAGAAGAAATCACCGACTCTACAGGTAAGATACCAGGGAAGCCTAGGAAGGGATGATGTTTAAAACCTTTGGGTGTCTCAGAGATGTCCATGTGCATTTAACTATAACATTCATCTTTATGGGACCTATAAATTCAATCACCATCTATTCATAGAAAACAGAAAACTAATATATAAAATTCAAGGAGTTTGTTCAGACAGGATGATTGAAGATAATATTTATTAACTATTTTTCTCATATATTAAAAGGATAGATGACAGTAAACAATTAATGCCATTAGAAAAAGAAATGGTATAATTTATCTTCCCTTGTATGCTGTTGCTGTAACAGAACCTCTGAACTATAAGAATATGCTGGCAGCCTCTGTTAAGAGCCTCATATGCTGCAGCAAAGCATGCATGTCAGAGAAGGCTTAGTGCTATAACTGAGCCTCACTCTCAGTAACTATCCATCCAATGACAGACAGGTAAGAATACAAGGGACCGTGGCCTTGCCTTAGTGCTCTCAGAGAGGCTATGAGGTAGAGACCATGGAATTTGACCACAGGGGTAAAGGCTGTTCTATAGTCTTTAGCATGTATAGTTTGGTAATAAGAGCACAGGCTTTTAATTGGGGGATATGCCATGCGAGTCTTGGAACAATTGTTTCTTTTTGAGGTTATTTATATGATGACTTCACAGAAACAGGGAAAGAAAATAATTAGGTGACTGTGACCTTGTGCCACAGCCCTCAGATCTTCAGAAACAATTGCTGGAAATTCATTATGAACTATGTCCTTACACTGTCTGTGGACACATTGTTACCTGAACTTTGCCACAAATACAGAATCCTAAGACATTAAACATTCTACATATTTGAATGAGGTAGGTTAGATGCAGTATTTCGTTTCCCAGTTACTTGTCATTAACAGTGTTTTAAATATGTCTGAGGATTTTTCAGTATTGTACCCTTTTATTCAAATGTTAGAGTTCTCAAGATGAATAATTTTAATTAACTGTGGTAATGAGAGTTCATTTTATATTTAGAAATGAGTGACATTTTAAATGTCAGAATCACTGTTTATTATGTCAGTTACCCATTTTCCAACTCAAACCATTCTAAAACTTCAAGTTTTAAACAATGCATATCCCAGACTTAAGTTGAAGTAGCTTCTGTGAAGTGGCCATATGAGCTGTATGCAACTGAGATCTATGTATGCCAGTGTGGCTTCAGTCACCATTGTCCCACCAGCTCATTCCATCACTAAACCGTGGTGCCCTTGAAGTATTTGCATTTCCTTTATGTGGCCTCTTGCTCTCAAGCCAAATATCTACAAAGACTGGCACTTTTAGAAGACAAAAGTGGAAACTCAAGGGGGCTTAACATCTAGAACTAGAATACACAGTCACTTTTGCCACATCTCATTAAGCCCAGAAAATCCTCTCTACTTGTCACAGTGAGAGAGATTGAGTAACACCCCTTCTCCCTTCACAGCGGAAGATTGCAAAAGTGGCATATGTCCGGGTAGGAAATAGACCTAATTATTGGGGATATCCATATCTATTCTAATTTTGACAAGACACATAAAACAGTCCTACATATGTGTCTATAAAATTACATATTCCTGGGATGGTTTACAGCTCGGACTTTTATGCAAGAGGATATATATTCTATCCCCAGTACCAACATTGGCCACTCAAACACATCTGCAACTCTAGTCTCAGGGAATTCAGTTCCCTCTTTTGAACCTCTTGGGCACTTGGCACATGTATTTGTACATGCATGTTAGCAAAACACCCGTGTGTGTGTGTGTGTGTGTGTGTGTGTGTGTGTATGTATGTGTGTACATATATTTCTACAAAATATTCTAGTGTTATTATATTAGTTGATTTTAAAGTTTAAGGGATTTTTTTTATAAGCATGACATGAATACTTTCTTAAAAAGTAACAGTATGTGTTTTCAATATAATATTTTTGGTTGCCATTGTTTGTGTGTGTTCTTCTTTTAATCAATCACTTCACTTCTGCTTTGGTTCAAGGTACTTAGATGGATTAAATCTTGGTGAAGACATTTTTACAAAAGTTTTTTACATAAACCCTTTAACATTTAATACAGGATAACACTTTCAAAGACTTCACAAATTCCTTAAGTAATTTATCCACACTGCTTAATCATCTCAATATGACTTATTTTTTTCTGAGTCTCTAAGAAATCTTTAAGTTATATTACACAGTGATTTTAAAAACAAATTCCCAAGTGGCATTAGATCATATCTAAAAATATAAAATAAAAGAAAGTAAGAGTTTCTATCAGAGTAGCTCATAGAAGAAAAGTTTGGAGTTTTTTATTGTTGTTTTGTTTTGTTTTACATAAAGATAGATTAAGAGGTAAGGAAAAAAGATTTGTATTAGTAAATTAGATGATGGTGGCTAGCTAGATGGATAAACAATAGACAGATGGATAGATAGATGACACATAGATGGGTGGATAGATAGTTTGATAGATAGATTTATATACAGATAGATAGATAGATAGATAATAGATAAACAGATAGACCGATAGATCTTGGAATATCACATCTTGGATTCCGTGAGGTCTTGGCTATTGTTTTGGGATCAATTCACCATTAAAAGCTCCCAAACACATGTATCAGGCCACCATTCCTTGTGTGGCTTGCCAGTACCTTTTGCTAAGAAATCATGACTCTGCAGGGATGTCCAATAACCATGGAAATTTATCACCTAGTAGGATTATCAGGAAACTTATGCAAAGGAAATAAGATTTTGGATGTGTGAAAGTTGATCCTTCTGAGAAACTAACTTTATAATCAAAACTCACTGTAGCACTTGTTTGACTATTTCATGTCAATCACAGAGCCAACGGGTGAAAGCCAGAAACTGGGCTCTAAAAGCAGAGAACTCTTTGTTCGAGCACATTGCATTTTACAATGGCATGCGTTTACACAGATTGTGCAACAGCAGTTTCTAAATGATAAAAATTCCTACATCTATTTTCATTCTGTATTTTCAAGCTAGATTTTAAGCTAAACAGTTTTGACAAATTTTCAGGAAAATTATTATTCAGTAATTTTTATTATCATGAAAGCCCATGAGCTATTATATTAATTAGCGATTTTCCAGTTTAAATTGTATCATAGTTGCATTTTACTTTTTAAATGATATTAATACCTTATAAACTGAAAAAATTGCTATTCTGAAAGTCATAGTGAGAGTGTGCTCTGCAGTTTCACAGTTGGTGAGGAATATGTTTTCAAACACAGGACAGGTCATCAAGCTCAATAGTGAGTACATTTATTTGCTCAGCCACTACCCACCCCTTGCTTCCTCATTAACTGAACAAAATTTTAATCAAGTAATTGTTTCTTTCAACACTGAAAAGGTAAAGGAAATAAAAGGTGAAATTCCAGAACGTAATACATTATGGAATAAAGGAATAAAGGATTTGAAATACAACCATATTTTTATGTAGAAGTGTCTCCTGAAAATTGTCCTCTGATTTTCATATTTGTAGCATTGCACAAGCAAATGATAATGACCACACACACACACACACACACACACACACACACACACACAAATAAATATTTTAAAAATGAATAAAAGTTTTAAAATAAGCTTTTATTCATTCCAAGATTTTCAAAAGTTAAAATGACGCTTAGTTTTATTTTTGTTTTCATGGCCATATTGCTATCTTGTCTCTATAAAGAAATTAGGTCATAGTAAATTTTATATTGCCTTATTTTTGTTTGTTTTACTATTTTCATAGCTTCTTCGGTGCATAGGTTGCATATGTGTATTTACAATCCTGTATCTTTTAATAATCAGATGTGTTCTTAGAATGTTAAGTACTAAGGTATCTACCTTCTACAAAGATCATATGCTACGAGATTTCTTGGCAGAAAAAACTTTTCCTCTCAAAAATTAGCTACATATTGTGCATCACATTTTGCCTCTAAGATACCAACTCTCAGAAACAAAATAGAGTTAATTAAAACAAATGTATTTATATAGAATAAAACTAAGCCTCATACTCTACACTACCTCTGTCTAAAGCTGGCGTATTGTGTTTAGGTGATAACTCTGGCCAGTGGGAGTATGCCTCACCACACCATCCACACACAGCCAGTTGGGAAACAGTTTGACCGAGTGGATGATTTTTTCATTCCCACCACAACACTTATTATCACCCATATGAGGTAAGTCCTAAGGTTAATAGCCCATTTATGAAGCTTTCTACATAATCTTAATTAAAGACACATAGAATCTAAAAACAATTTATTTATAAAACAAATGTAAAGAATAGTCACATATAATTTTTAGCTTCTCATATCTGCTTGTTGTGACTGATCAGTATTAGTGGTAAACTTACCACCATGACTTTCATATCTAATGAACAAACTTCTAATGACAAAGGTGTATTTTGTTACTTGTATCAATTTAACATTTCTCCAAATTTTTATTAGTGCTTTTTTCCCTAGGATCTTATAAAATGTTCATATTTCTTGAAAATAAATGAAATGATTCTGATGAATGAATTATTTGTCAAATAGAGAGACTGTTTTTGAATGTGACAGAAAGAAGAAACACAGGTTCAGATGTCTGTTCCCTGTATTTAATAATATCCACTACTAAACACTGAGCCAAATGCCTGGAATCCAGCTGCAGACAGGGAGGAATGATGAGCAAAAGGGTCAAGACCAGACAGGAGAAACCCACAACAACTGCTGACCTGAACAAGGGAGAGCTCATACACCCCAATCTGATAGTGTGGAACCAGCATTGGACCTACACAGATATCCTGAATGTGGTAGTTGGGCAGTATATGGGGCCTCTGATAGTGGATCAGTATTTATCCCTAGTATACAAATTGACTTTTGGAGCCCATTCCACTTAGAGGTATATTCCCTCAGCTTAGATACATGGGGAAGGGCCTGGCCCCTGCTCCAAATGATATGACAGACTTTGAAGACTCCCCATGGAAGGCCTCACCCACCCTGGGAAGCAGAAATAGGATGGGCAGGGAGATTGTGAGGAGGAACATGGGAGAGCAGGAAGGATTGGGAACTGGAATTGGTATGTAATACAAGCTTGTTTCAAATTTAAATAAAAAAATATTGAAAACAGAAAAGAAAATAATACCCACAATAGGTTTGGCTCATGGCGAGCTTAACATGAAAATCTATTAGAAAGTATAAGTTTGTATAGAATGTTTGAAGCATGATCTTTCTAAAGGGGTATTTTTGCTCTTCCTCTGATTACTTTCAAGGTGTGAAGGTAACATTAATACACAGGGTGGTACCTAAACTAAAACTCAGTGGTTAAAAAACTTGCATGTGCAGATGTCATTGCCATTGGCTTTTTGTGCCATTCTGGTTTATTGCATGTGGTTGATATATTGTCAGAAAGTTATGTGGTTTTATGCTGGGATGATTTTGACAAAGCTTGTTATGGAGCTAATGACAATTAGAAAAACAGCCAATATTGTCTACAAACAGAGACATGATCTTATTTCATTGCTGTGTACTATTGGAAGGATTTAAAAGTTTTACATGATGATCTTTCAATTTCTTGGCATTTATATTCCTTTAGGGCTGTGTATTGACATAATGACTGTCTAAACTGTGCTCTATAAATAATTATTTAATGGATAGTAAACATCAACCATAACAATCATATCTCCATATTGAGTATAATTTTAAGGAACAGGGATGATAATCAAATTTTCTATATTTCAGCTCAAGGCAATTGTCACAATTAGTACAATAATGATGTTCAAGAAAAACAGTGAAAATTTTGCTTCTGTTTCCCAAATTAAACTTCTATTTAGAGATACTGTTTCTTTAAAACAAATAGAATTTAGTTCACCCTCAAAACACCTTGGGAGTAAATATGGTTTGTTCTACCAATTTTTTGGAGCAAATTAGCCAATGAACTTCCCATGTGTGTAAATGTGTTGGAAGTGGATTTCTGTGAACTGCATCATCATCCTTTGACAGTACTTCCTCACTTTTGTATTTCAAAGACACTTCCACATCTTCAGGCACAGGGCTTGACACATAGTAAGCGTTTGATCAATATTGGCTGTCTTCCTCTGACCTGCCATCCCATTACTCTGCTTTATTCTCAGACTACATCACCTTCAATTTTTATAATTGATATCTTAATTTTCCAGAACACAAGTGGGCCCAAGTCAGGACCTTATATTCTTAGTGTCAAAATGATGAGTACTTAACTTATGTTTCTCAAGGGAAGGAGGAAAGTATCACATTTCCTATGATTTGGCTTCAGAAAGAGCTGTCTTTCAGATAACCTGGGTATGTCCATGGACATATAACATCTAAGACACAAGTATTATGTGGAAATGGAGAAAAATTACAGTGGGAAGAGTCTCAAGAAAGAGATGCCATATTGAGTTTCTTTACTGGGGACTTCCCATAGGATTAATGTCTGAAACTGGATAAAGACTAAGGACATTCATGCTATGGGATTTTATTCTCCATGTGTGCCTTGAACACAGTCAATGTCGGCCAATCAAAGGGGGCTGAAGCCTCTCTCCCCATATTTATCTTTCACTTGCTTTGTTAGCTACTAATAATGCCTCACTTACTGGCTAGTGCAACACTGGCTGACCTTGACAATCATCAACCTTGTAAGTGCTGATATTTTCCTACATTACCTAATAATGCTCGTTCTTGTCCACTTCATGTGACCAGTTTATAAGTATATCATAAAGTTTGCTTTTCTGCTTATTGAGAGGCAACTCCTATCTAGCCAGTAACACTATTGTCACAGTATAGCAGCATTCCTTCTAAAGTTTAACATGAAATACTGCATTTGTAATCCTTTGTCCAGTAATATCTGTCTGGGCAATTCACAGTTAACACAGGTAAACGGGATTATTTTGGAATTAGTTGCAATTATGCTAAAAGTCTATTATTTCTTTGTGTGGCTTCGTAGATTTATCACCTGCTCCATTTATTCATCACTTATTTTGCTTCTGCAACCATAATCTTCAGGCTTCTTTATTCTTGTCTCTAAGGTAGGTCAAGAAGGAAAAATTTAAAGCATCAAAGAGGATATGACTGTTTTACTTCAAAAAGGCTTTGGTATTTGTACATCTTTGTATTTTCATTCCCTTTAGTTTTATATAGTGAGCACATGCACACAGGTTTGAATTTTAATGAACTATTCAGATCATCAAATTTCCTACTTTGTGATACATATGTACATATTTGACATACATATGAACATAACTAATTGTGTGGGTATATATGCTTTAATAGTTACCTTGAGACACATAACAGTATATCATGTTACAAATTTGGAATGTATATATGATAAAAAACATAACAATATCTTATATTGTACTAGATTTTTATCAACATTGTCTACAAAATATATAAATCTTCACAAAATATGGAAAGTTTATTTGAACTTGTCAAAAATTCTTGGATCCATATGCTGTCACTGAACTGCTTTAGAAATTTGACTTTCTTTTTTTTTTAATTTTTTTAATTTATTTTATATAACAAAGTCCATTTAAATGAAAACAAACATTTATAGACAATATTTGGGAATTTGGGCATCATTCTTTCCAAACTACTTCCTGCTGGTAAGGGGCACTGTCATGGGGGATTCGAAGAAGATTCAGAAATCCTGGCTGTAGTCTGTAAGGCTGCTTTGTCCAGCTGTTTTGAATGTAGGATCACCTCATACTCTGTTTCAGGAGGTCTGGCTTGATCAAACCACATTAGTCTGGAAGGAATCCACATCTTTTCATTTTCTGTGGAAACAAAAATAGAAATCCTTTTAACCAGTAACTTGTCCTTGAACTTAAATTTTGGAGTCAAAGCATTTTTTTTAATTTAATTTATTATTTTACATGTTGATCCCAGTTCCCTCTCCCTCCCTCCCTCCTTCCCTCTTTCCCTCCCTTTTACCCTCTCTGCCCTCTCACATGCACTCTAACCACCCTCCCTTCCCATCCCCCCACCCAAATTCCATATGTAGGAGAATGCCATCCAGTTGGAGTCATGCAGGCAAGTGGATGGTACTTGAAGAAACCATCCTGAATGAGGTAACCCAGTCACAAAAAGAGGAACACAGTATATACTCACTCATATATGGATTTTAGACCTAGATCAAAGGATCACCAGCCTACAATTCACACCACCAGAGGAACTAGGATACAAGGTGTATTCTAAGAGATTCATATAAAGTCCCTCACAGAAATGGGAAGGGACAAGTCCCCCAGAGCTCAGGGGAAGTGGGGGGGCAGCGAATGGAGAGAGAAGTAGGAGAAAACGAGGGGGAGGAAAGGAGAACATCTGCCTTAATCTAGAAATTTGACTTTTCATTAGAGGATATGAGATTTTGTGAAAAGCAGGGCAATGTGCCCTATTTCTCCCAGTGCCTCAGAAAACTCTGTCTGCCTAGGAGGTTGATACAGCCTGTATCTGAAACTGCTATTCATTATTATACCACTGAATAAGTAATTCTTAAAGAAAATGTTATTTTATATTAATAAAATTGTAACTCCTCTTAAAAGTAATCAGGGCACTATATGAGCTCTCAGTTTTGGCCAACAGGGATTAGCAATGCCACACAATATTTGGTATTTATAATAGTTTCCTTAAACTTTTGAGCTCCAGAGTGAATACCAATCCTTTGCCTCCACCGTTCCTTTTCCAAAAGACCTTGTGCTTGATTCAGTTTTTGTATGGTACAAGAGCATGAAGTATGATCCAAATACTGATGTTTGCCATAACCTGATGATCTAGTGAAACTGCATAGATACTTTTTGATAAACTTTAACTTCAATAAGTGAAGTTTGAAGTCAATTTATTTAGTCTCAACTTCCAAGGACATTGGTAAACAGTTTAACATGGCATGGCTATCATAGATATGTATTCAGGTATTCACTAAAAATATATTTAGGGGCTGGAGAGATTATTTAGCTGTGAAGAACTGAGTTCTAAGGCACACATGGTGGCTCATAACCATCCATGTGTCAAGTCACAGGGGATTCTGATGCTGTTTTCTGACCAATGTGGACACTAGGCATGCATGTGGTACACATTCATACATGTAAAAGTAATATAAGTAAAACAAAAAGAATGTAACACAAAAAATACATTCATAAAAACAGTACATGGTTGTATTATTATTTGGCTTTTTATTTTAAATATTAATGGGA